TTGGAAAGGAAGAGGATGGAAATGGGAAATAGAGCAAAAGTAGGATAAGTGATGTTACACTGTCAGGGACTGGACACAATGACATGAAATAAAATGTATATGAATTGAATGGAAAACTAATTTGCTCTGCAAACCTTCACCCAATTCACAATAAACAAAAATTAATCTACAAATTAATTATAAAAAACATTCAGTTAGCCAATCCTTTCTCCCAGAGATGATCGCTTTTAATGCATAATTTCTCTGTATCTTCTTTTATACTTTTTGTAAGTCATTGTACAAATACACTGCAATTAACTAATTCCCTTAGAAGCTCTGAATTACTTAATGTTTTATTATTATTTTATTGTGTGATAGTTTACATGGGGGAACATTAGTTTTACATTCATTCTACCATACATAGTTTCATTGCCATAGTTACCATCCCGTCTATGCATCATCTCCCAACCAAAGGGTATACCCAGCAAGCCGCCCACCCTCCCACCCATGGTCCTCAGCCCACAGCCCCTTTCCCTCTCTGGATCTCAAGTCCTCAGCCACTCCATCTCTTCATGTCATCCTCTCTGCCTCCATCTCAGGCCTCACTGCTTCTCTGGGTAGGGTCCCGCTCTCTGCTTTTCTCCAGTGATGGTCCCAGGGCCCTCTGCTCCTAGACTGAAAAGTTAATCACTCCCCACCTTGCTATAAAATATCCACCTTTACATTTCAAGTCCTCACAGTCAGTCCTGATAACAATTATTCACCCTTGCATCACAAGAGACCCATCTGCATTTCTTTTCATCAGCCTTCCTAGACAGGTTGGTTACTACTCACTGAAGACTCTACCATCCTCCCCACCCTGTAGACCTAGGTTCCCTCTTGAGAGCTTGTAAACCACCCCCCATTTTTGGTAGCCAATGTTCAAATTGCCCATCCCTATCTCCTCTTTGTGTGGATGGGGTGGGAATAATTTTTGGAGCAGGGATTTGTTTCCTCCTTCGAGCTTCTGCATTTATAGGTGCAGGTCAAGTTTATCAAGTTGTGTCAGATGACTTTTTTTTTCTCCTTCTTCTTTCTTCTTCAGGTTAAACTCTGTTCATCCAGTCATTTAAGCCAGGTGGGTATCATCTGCAAGTGTGGGTGTTCTTGTGTCTGTCTGCCCTCTTCTTATCAGCTGGTTGCTTTGCTCTCCACTCTAGTCCTTTGTGGTTGTGTCACTGACTCTGAGCCCAAGGGTCCCCAGGTCTTGCCTCGCTGCTGGCCGACCAGGTCTCCACCCAGGTTCACAGTAGTCTGCTGAACAATGCAGGGCTTAGCCATTTCATTGATGTTCTTTGGTCACCTCTTCTTATGGGTGACGTGCATGGTAGCCAATCAAATCAGGGTGTGTATTTCCATTGCGTCTAGGTCTTAGAAGAGGATTTGCACTGAGAGGACCCAACCACTTGCCTTGATGTCTCCTGTAGTTAATGTTTTAGAAAGCATTGTTCAAGGGGGCTAGAAAAATAAGTTAGGAGTCACTAGGTGGTTCAATTAAGTGCACAAACCAAAATGTTGGACCAAACCCACTCAGAGGCTCCTCAAAATAAAGGTCTAGTGATATGCTTTCAAATGCTTAGTCTCGAAAGCCCTATGGAACAGTTCTACCCTGCACACACGAGGACACCAAGAGTCAAGAGTGCACTCAATGGTAACTGTAGACATTTTAGCTCACTTAGGAAATACATAGATTAATAAAATTTATTAAGATGTAAATTAAAGAAGGGGCAGTGATTTGGGAACAGTATGATGATTATGGATAGCCCCTCATACTATGTGCGCCTGAACTCTGTTCTATACCTATTACCATAGAGTTCATCTTAACAGAGAACTATACTATGTCATTTCCAAAGCTGTAATCTTTATGGGGAGTCCTGGTGTGGTGCTGTGGTTTAATGCACTGGACTGCAAAGTGGATTTGAATTACAAGGTCAGTGCTTCAAGCTCACCAGCTGCTCCTAGGAAAACCCTATGGGTTGGAACAGATTTGATGGCACGTAACAACCAATCTTGATTGAAGCAGAATGCTACACTTTTCTGAGAAAGGCCAACCTTTCGGTTAGCAGTCTACCACTTATTTAACCCATTGTGCCACCATGGCACCTGTCCTGTTGTTGTTAAATTCCAATTCATAGTGATCCTGTAAAGCATTTCCAAGGCTGTAAAGCTCTATGGGAGCAGAAAGTCTCTTTTTTCTGCCAGGGAGTGGCTGGTGGGTTTAAATTGCTGACCTTGAAGTTAGCAGGTGCTTATCCTCCAGTCCACACCAGACCTCCTCTGTTCTATGATGTTAAGTACCGTCAAGTTGACTCCAACACATGGTGATGGTTGTGTGCCATGAAGTCAGTTCCGACTCATAGCAACGCTGTATAGAGTTTCCCAGGCTGTAAATCTTTATGGAGCAGAAAGCCTTATCTTTGCCCCACAGAACAGCTAGTAGTTTTGAACTGCTGACCTTGAAGATTAGCAACCCAACTTGTAACCACTATGCTACATAGTGATCCTGTATAGGGTTTCTAAGGCTTTACATTTTTGCAGGAGCAGAAAGTCTAATTTTTCTCCCACTGAGCGGCTGGTAGGATTGAACATCTGACCTTGTGGTTAGTAATCCAGTGCTTATCCTATAGTGCCATGCCAGAACTTTGGCAAATACTGCTAACACAGACTCTATTATTGGTGACAAAATCAAAATTAATGTTTCTCCAATTCAAATACAAGGGGGCTTTAAAAAGTTCATGTATAAATCTAATAACTAATTCCATTTTTCCACAGATTTTTAAACATCCCCTTATTGAATTATAGTGTCCTATCCACTGCTAGGTTCTGGGATATTAGGATGTTCTACAAATGCAATCTACAATTGCAGGGTAACTTCTTAATTTTTTTTCCAGATTCTCTATTACAGTGCTTTAATGAGTAGACTACATATAAGGGTTTTAATAATAGCTAAGTTGCATAAAATTATTTTTTATTCTTTCAGAAACATTTCTGTTGACCAAATACAAATTCACCAGGAAAATACAGAAAGTACAAATACTGTTTCAGCTGAATCCTTCGGTTTCAAGTAACTTAGTTGTGCGTGTCACTTCTTTTGTATGACCTAAAAACGAATCAGAACTACTGCCAGCACCATAAAGCCTCAACAAGTCCCAGAGTGAGATCTGGAAGGATTTGCAGAAGCAGGAGTTTTACACCTTGGGGGGAGGGGAGCTCTCAGTGCTTCTCAACTTGTAACAAGAAGCTGCTAGGCCACAGGAAGGCATTGGATAGGCACTGCAACATGGTGCTGGAGAACGTGGACCGAGGTCCCCAACAGCGGCATGGGCAACAAATCCAAGCATGTCCACAAGGACCACTACATCTCCAAGATGTTCCAGCATGGGGGCTCTGCCATGATGGTACTGCGGAACCAGCTCATCACCGGCAAGCAGGAGCCAGCGTTTTCAGATCTGCCCAGAGTTGGGAATAATAAAGTCCCTTTGCTTTTTCTAATAACAACTAAAATCTATTGAAAGAAGTTCAAATAAAGTCCTGTTTACTGTCAAGGACTTTATTTGAACTTCGTTTTGTGAAACTATGGCAAGCTTTCAAAAAGTTCGTGGGAAAACTCCATTATTTGTTAACCCTACTTTCCACCATTCTTTTTTATTCCATACCCCATATCTTGCTTAGTGTCACTGTCTCCCTACAATCCCACCCAGAAGACTCAACTGTAAAGCAAAACACTTTAAATGATCCTTCAAGAGAGCTATCTATCTTTGTAAAAGCCTCATAAACACCTGAAATACAAGATACTAAATCAATCCCAAGCTCTCCATTATTTTTAAAAAGCAAGATCTAACCCTGTTACAGCCGACCTTCCTCCTCCCTCCTTCTCTAAACTAACTCAAGTCTACACTTGGATTGTCCAAATGAACACATTTTGAGTCTCTGTACCTTATCTCATCTTTAATACCCACCCTGGGTGCCAATGTAAATGGTAATTTTCTGAATTCCTCCTAAGGATGACTAGCATTCATTCTCAGAAAAGATTTGGGTTGAGAAATGCAAGATCCTCACCTAAACTTCAGAATTAATTTGCACAAGTTCTTAAAAGGTTAAGGGGAACTTATTTTAATGTTTTCCCCACCTTCTGACTTTCCTTTAATTTGAGACAAAGGGAACGCTTCCGAGAGTTAACAGCTCAAAGAACATAGAGAGAATCTTTTCAGACAAGTTCAAGATTTGAGCAGAAACTACGTGAATGCACGAAAACATTCTCAGTGTCTCCCGGCGGAGGCAAAGACCACTGACCGGCGCCAAGTTCCGCCAGGACTTCAGCATGGGCAGGAAGCCCATCCTCCCACCGTGTGGTGACACGCCGGAGGGTACAGAAGCGCCGGCGGGCTCCGTAGTCATCGACTAACAAAAAAATCCTTTAAGACAAGAAAAACCCTCTCCCAAGAACAAGAGCCTTGGCCGGCCCCAAAAGCCCCCAGGGAGCTCTGACTTCCCATGCAGTTTAAGCCTTCCCCTTCACATCCTCCCCAGTAGGATGACACTCAGCAATCTCTAGGCAAGGCCCATCTAATCTCCAGAACGCGCTTCAACAAGCCCACTAGAAGAAAACAGCCTCCTCTTCGCCCCTGTGGGGAAAATGGCGCCCATCACCCCTTCTCCCTCCCGGGTAATCACAAGGACCAGCCTCCCACTCTCACTACAAAATGGCGTCTCACGTTGGTGCCCCTGAATCGGCGTAACTTACTCGCCAGTGAGGCGGTCTCGGACCGGGATGAGCGGCTCTATCAACCAGTCACAAACCCGAGCTTTCATTCCGCATTTTCCAGGAGCCACTCAGGTGCGGGTTGTAAGGCTCGGCTAAGCTGGCGTCACGAGAAAAAGGCGTGGCTATAGCTGTTTCCTTTCGCGTCGGCTACGTACCGTCCAATGGTAAGCAGGAAATAACCAATGAGTGACGTAATGACTATCCAATGGAGGCTAGAGGCGGGCCTCAGACAGTCTATGCGAGTTGCGGGGCCCGGGGGCCGGGCGACTGTTTCCTGTCCTGGTGCATGGTGGTCGGACGAAGGAATTGTTGGAAAATTTTCTCGGAGGTTCGTATATAAATGTGTTTTTACCCAGTGTGCATTATTCTCCGCCCGGCCGCCGCCCTCAGCGCGGCGGCGCGGGCCCAGTGGGCCCGGGCTCTAGCCTTGACTGCTCATCCTCCGCCGCAGGCCCTGCCTAATCCTACGGCTGGCGGTAGTAGAGGCGGCTGAGCCGAAGCGGAGTTTGTTAATAACCCGCGGCCGCCACTCTGGGGCGGCGGAGCTTTTCTCGCTGAGGACGCAACCCCCTCCCCCCGTGTGTGCTCGCTGCTCTCAGTCGGTTCCCCTCAGGGGACCGCTGAGGGGAGGGAGGGTAAAAGGGGAGGGTGGAGCCCTCGGGAGCCCGGCGGCGCTTTTCGGCTTGACCTCCGCGTGGAGTGAGTCCCCAGGCGCCGGACGGCTGCCGAGGCGGAGTTCCTCCGGCGAGGACGCCGGGCTCACGGTCTGCACTAGTTCCCAGCTGGGACGCCGGCGGCAGGGCTGGCGGAGGGCCCGCTCGGGACCCCAGTTTGCAGAGCGCACCCAGAATTTTCTCTTACCCGGATCATGCTGAGATTGCTTATTTCCCCTGATTTTGTCTTTGTATTTTGAGGCCATAGAGACCCATCATTAAATATTAATAATTGGCAATTTATTTTTTTTTGGCTAAAGAGTAAATTAATTTTTATGAATGTTTTGTAATGCTTTGTTTTGTGACGTGAACTCATTTTTATTATTTTTTCTTTTGCTTTTTAGCATTGATTTCCCCCCCCACATTAACATTTAAGCCAAAACAGAATACCGTCGGTAAATATATTTGTTTGAAATCATTTTCAGGCTTTGCTTTCAGACTGTCTAACAAGCTGATATAGTTAAGTAGGGATGTGGTGAGAAATTGTAGGTTTAAGGTTGTGGTCGGCTTTGTTCTGAATATTATTAGACGATAAAAGTGTGTATGACTAGTTGACAAAAGCTTTGCCGTATTTATTTCTTGCTGAGTGTTGTCTTAAATTCCTCCTTATGAGTTTAGAAAAAGAATGTAATAAGATCACTAAAAAGATCCGATAATCTGCAGTTAATTTTATCCTGATTTATTTTTATTTTGACTATTTTGAAAGTTATTTAAATAGTACAAATACGAGTGCATATTTTGTCCATAGCCCTTTTTAAAGAAAACAACTGCTTTATTGAGATGCAGTTCACATAACATACAGTACATTATGCAATTATTGTTAAATACTGTGGCATCAGGATCCGACTCATAGAGAACCTGTAGAGGGTTTCCGAGAAGTGGCTGGTTGGTTTGAACCACCGATCTTTCCGTTAACAGTCCAGTGCTTATTCTACAGCACCACACCAGGACTACAAATACGTTATCGGTGATAATACGTGCCCTGAAGTTTGTTAGAACTGAAATGGACCCTGTATATAGTTTCCTAGGGTGTAAATCTTTACAAGAGCAGAAAACCTCATCTTTCTCCCACAGAGCAGCTGTTTGATTCGAACTGCTGACCTTGTCTTAAATAATGCGCAAAGAGTTGTGCATCTATCTCCGCAATTTTAAACATTTTCAATTGGTTTTGACTCAGACACCCTGTGCACAACAGAGTTAAACACTGCCCTTCCTGCACCATTCTCACAATCATCCTCATGTTTGAGCCTATTTCTGCTGCAGCTGTGTCAGTCCATCTCATTTAGGGGTCTTCCTCCTCTTCGCTGACCCTCCACTTTACCAAATATGATATCCTCCAGGTCTTTCCTGATAATATGTTCTAAGTATGAGAGATGATCTGGCCTCTGGCTTCTAAGGAACATTCTGGCTATACTTCCAATGCAAATTTGTTTGTTCTTCTGGAAGTCCATGGTACTTTTAATATTGTTCTCCACCACTAACTCAATTCTACTTCAGTCTTCCTTATTTATTGTCCAACTTTTACATGCATATGAGGTGATTGAAAATACTATGGCTTGCATCAGCCACACCTTAGCCCTCAAATGACGTCTTTGCTCTTGAACACTTTAAAGAAGTCTTGTATAATAGATTTGCCTAATAGAATACATCTTTTGATTTCTTCACTGCTACTTTCATGAGTGTTAAAAGTGGATCCGAGCAAAATAAAGTTTTTGACAACTTCAATCTTTTCTCCATTTATCATGATGTTTATTGGTCCATGAGGATTTTTGTATTCTTTGCATTGAGTTGTAACTCATAGTGATCTTTGATTTTCATCAGTAAATATTTTAATGCTTCTCTTTCAGCAAGAAAGCTTGCTTTTTAAAAGCCTCATCTGCATATCTCAGATTAATGAGTCTTCCTCCTGTTCTGATGCTATGTTCTTCATGTACTCCAGCTTCTCGAATTATTTGTTCAGCATACAGATTGAATATGATGAAACAATACAACCCTGACTTCTCATCTTTCCTTATTTTAAACCAGTCATAATCTTGTTCTGTTCTAACTCTCTCTTGGTCTATGTACAGGTTACTTATGAGCACAATCAGGTGTTCTGGAATACCCAATGTTATGTATAACTTGTCATGATCTACACAACCAAAAGCATTTGCACAGTCAATAAAGCACAAGTAAACATCTTTCTGGTGTTCTCTGCTTTCAGCCAAGATCCATCTGATGTCAGCAGTGTTATCCTTCGTTCCATGTCCTTATCTGAATGTGTCTTGAACCTCTGGCACTTCCTTGTTGATGTACTGTTGCAGCTGTTTTTGAATTATCTTTAGCAAAATTTTACTTGCATGCGATATTAGTGATATTATTTTATTATTTCCACATTTTGTGGGGTCACCCCTCCTTGGACTGAGCACAAATACGGATTTCTTTGTATCAGTTACCCAATTTCTTGGCATAGATGAGTGAGTGCTACCAGTGCTGTATCAGTCTGTTGAAAGATTTCAATTTTCATTCTATCAATTCTTGGAGTGGTGTTCCTTTCCAATGCCTTCAGTGCACATTGGACTTCTTCCTTCAGTACCATCAGCACATCATCATATGCTACCTCTTGAAAGGGTTGAATATTGACCATTTCTTTTTGGTACAATGATTCTATTTCTTCCATTTTCTTTTGATGTTTTCTGTATCATTCAATAATTTGCCCATGTTGTTGTTGTTGTTGTGAAGTGCCGTCAAGTCGGTGCCGACCCATAGCAACCCTGCATAGGGTTTCCGAGGAGCAACTGGTGAGCTCGAACCGCCGACCTTGCAGTTCAAACGGCTTTACAGTCTGGGGCAATAACCCACAGTGCCACAGAATCCTTCAATATTGCAAGTCAAGGCAGAAATTTTTCTTCAGTTCTTTCAGCTTCAGACATGCTGAGTGTGTTCTTCCCCTTTGGTTTTCTAACTCCAGGTCTTTGCACATTTTATTGTAATACTTTGTCTTCTTGTGCTACCTTTTGAAATGTTCTGTGTAGCAAGCACTTTTACCTCCTCATTTCTTGCATTTGTTTTATCATCCCTACACTACAGAATAAACTTAAGTCTCTTCTGACGTCCATTTTAGTGTTCTCCTTTCTTGTCTTGATGGTCCTGATGTCATCCCACGAGTCTTTCCTTAGGTCATTAGTGCCTAATGCATCAAATCTGTTCATGAGACGATTTCTAAATTTAGGAGAGATATGTTCCAGGTAAAATTTTGGCTGTCAATCATTGTTTTAGTTTTCTTCAGCTTCAACTTGAGATTGCATATGAACAATTGCCCCTGGCCTTGCTTTGATACGGAGCTTTTTCATCATCTCTTTACATAGCTGTAGTCAGTTTGATTTCTGTGTATTTCATCTTGTGAGTCCATATGTGTAATTGTCTTTTATGTTGTTTTAAAAAGATATTTGCAGTAAATAAGTCATTAGTCTTGCAGATTCTATCACATGATCGCCAGCATCATTTCTATCCTCAAGGCCGTGCTTTCCACCCTCTGATCCTTCCTCTTTGTTTCCAGCCTTTGCATTCAAATCACCAGTGATTATCAATACATCTTGGTAGTATGTTTAATCAATTTCAGATTGAAGAAGTTGGTTTGTTGCTATTATTAGGTGTCATTGAGTCGGAACCAACTCATAGCGACCTTATGCACAGCAGAATGAAACACTGCTTGATCCTGGGCCACCCTCACCACTGTTGCCACACTTGAGCCCATTGATGCTGCACTTTGCCAATCCATCTCATTGGGGACCTTCCTCTTTTTCTGTGACCCTCCACCTTACCAAGCATGATATCCTTCTCCAGCGGCTGCGACTGGTCCCTCCTGACAATATGTCCGAAGTATGAGAGAAGGAGTTTAGAAGTATGAGAGAAGGAATTTGGTCATCCTGGCCTCCAAGGAGCACTCTGGCTGCACTTCTTCCAACACAGATCTTTTGGTTCTTTTGGCAGCCCATGACACTTTCAACATTCTCCTCCAGTACCATAACTCAAAAGCATCAATTCTTTTATGGTCTTCCTTATTCACTGACCATGCATATGAGGTTATTGAAAATACCATGGCTTGGGTCAGGTGCACATTAGTCCTCAAGCTGACATCTTTGCTCTTCAACACTTTAAAAAG